GCCTTCAGCCTGTTTGTCTGTGAGCTTTTGGCTACTTAATGAGGCACACAGGCTTCACCAGACAGCACAGTCACTCTATAGCACTGCACCCCGAGGACGCATTCGTATTAATATTAACCACTGTATTAGCATTTGCATGCAGTGCATAATATGCTAAAAATCAAATATTGTAAATATAAATATGAGTGTAATTTTGGTCACAGAGTTAATTGTTGCAGTGCAGCTCAATTATCAGTAGTTGTGTGTGTCTGTGAGCTCCGTATTAGCAGCTACAGGCGTCCATGTGTGAATATATACATGTGAATTGGTGTATGAATGTGTGTCAGTGTGTGCCGTGTATACTAAGCAGTTTATCTCGTCTGCTCTGCGTTGTTTCTCGCTCCCAAGTGCGGCGAGGTGAGCCAGGTTCACACAGCTCAGGTCTGTTGGAATGATAAGTCCCCTTGTGTCCCTCCTAGAGGTAAATAAACTCCCCTGGTGTGACCGTGCTGTGTCCCCCCTTATCTCCTCCTTTGCCTGAAACCCCCATTTAATGGCAATGCTCACCTTCACCAAATCCAACCCGCCCTCCTCCTCCTCCTTTACGCATACGTGTCCCGTGTGGCACACCCTGAGGGCATGTCAGGAGTGAACGCTCTTCCAGCAGTTTAATTAGACAACCACGCCTGGCATTGGGGAGCATGGGGGGAAGGGAGCCGAGGCCAGGGCACATGAGGCGCCCGGGATGGGGGTAGTTGGGGGAGATGTAGGAGATGAAGTGCGTACATCTGGAGAACAGTTAAACACAGTCGTATCTGTGCCATCCAATCATGTGACTCCAGAGCAGGCCTGTTTCTAGGGCTTCAAAAGTGATGAAAAATCACTGATCATTGGAGCTGCTTCCATCTTTAAAAGGGCCACAAGAACTGACCCTAAACCACATGATTTGTCGTATTGATTTGTTACTTGCACAAAGCTTGACCTGAACTGTTATCGATAGTCAGCTGTTAGTGATCCGGATTGGGTAACAGTCAACATTACACAACGCTGGTCAAAAGTAGTTCAGCTTCCGGACATGAGGAATCATTAACTGGCCATGACAGAAACAAAACATGTGAGACCCTGCTGGTAAAAGTGTTGAGTCACGGTAAAATTGGAGTTTTTGTTGCCTCTTTACAGAAATAACACGTGACTGTATTCCTTCATGAGCTATTAAAACCAAATTTAAACAACAAAACAAAAGTGTGTTACTTGTGCGAGCATTCATGTGTCGTCTCTTTGTCTTCCCACCTCTTGTCACTCTTCCTCTGTCGGCTTCTCGCTGTAGAAAAAACAAAAAAACAAAGCAGCGGCTTGGAAGGAAAATAATAGTGAGCGTACTTTTTAGGTTCAGCTGTTGTACAAAATCTTTACTCTGTGCATTGCTTGCTAGGGGCAACTATGGACATATTGAATAAGACAAGCCCCTTCAGGCAAATGTAGTGTAGTCATGGCAACGGTGAAGCACAAAAAGTATAGAGAAAGTGTGTTTGTGTGTGAGTGAGCGGTGATGTATGTCAACACTTGGCAGAGACATAAAATGTCATCGGTGTTGAAAAGAAACAAGGGAAATTTAGGCAAAATTACACAAATCTTGATGTGTCAATTGATTAGTCAAAAAATTCACAACTGTGAAAAGTACAATTTAAAGTCTGTAGTCAGTCAGAATGGACAAAACTGTGGACCACACATGAATTTACACTCCATTTTGCACATTATTGTAATTCAGACTGACAGTATGATACATTTACATATTAAAAGTCTCACATCTTAAGAAATTCTGGCACCTAACATTTGTTTTCATTCCCTGATGACCTGGTAGACTTGTGCCAGGAATGCAGAGGCTGATTCTGTATTTTTGGTTGTTTGGAAAAATGTGGCGCTGATCCACATCAGATCCAGTCACAGATTGTTTCACTGCTCATTCCAGGATGGCGTCGTTTTTCCCCTCCACTTTACTATCCATCTCTCAGCCCCATAGTGGAATCTCTTTCCTCGTGAAGGTGGAAAATTTATGACCATCAGCCACGTGACCTGACTACTTTATATCTGAACTTTCATCAGCTTGAAAAAGGTTGTTTCTCAGCTGTGTTGACCTTGCAGACATGCAGAAATAAAGATATCTCGATATCTGTAGCTATTCTTTGCATGTAAATATGTATAGTTTTATATTGCATTTTTACATTTTAGAATTATTCCGTGCAAAAAGTTTTTTGGCTTTGTTTCTTCCTAGTTAAGCTTGTTGAAGCACTTCAGTTTATTACGGTGCTGCATACTTTAAAATAGCACAATTTATTCATCACAAAAGCACCATTCTTTTTGTTTTGACTGAATCTTGATTCATGAAAAAAAATCTGTTGAATAATGATTAAAATTAACTTCAAAAATAACAGTAATATGTAATATTACGCAGCCTGTTAGTGTTTTTAGGACAGTGTTTTCTGTGTTGTCTTCTTGGCAAAGCAAAGTGTGTGAACAGTTTGGGAAAAGTTAACGTGGGTTCAGTAATGAAAAAAATGAAATCATGTGTTTTTCTTACACAACTACTGCTATTTTCAAACGTGTCACTTAAGAGCAGAATTGCATAAGAAAGCTACAACCTCGTACTTTTATGACATACATGTAAAATTCAAAACAGGTATGCAGACTGTAATAAATGAGACAGAGTGAAATGAGAATAAAAGCGGCTATATTCACCTAGGATGCACAAACATCATAAAAGGTACATTTCATATCATGTTTAATTGATTATATGTCAATATAGTGAACACATACACTTTGCCTAGTTAAAGAAAATCATACTGTTCACGTTATTGATCTACAGATCTACATTGTTGTGTCTACGATATTGCTTATTCAAATGAACAACATCATAATATTGTAGGACTTAAAGGCCCTGTACGCTTATACAGGAGTTTTCTTTAATCCCGGCTGGTGAAACCAAGGTTACATTCCATTTTGCTGCTTTGGTTTCAGGGTCCTGATGTTTTGTCACTCTCACACCAGAACACTTGAAATAAACAGAGCCATCTTTAACGTTAGTGACACCTGTGCTTTGACCCAAAACTAAAAGGCATAATAAACCTCCAGAGTAAAGAAGATATCAATCAAATGCTGTCAGTCTCGAGAAGGAGGCAAAAAAGCGAAAAGTTCTGTTCTGTCGCCACTTTCAGAGCAGATATTTAGACGGTAGAAAAACAGGTCGGAAATAATAATAGAGTTAATTATGGCTAAATTCTATTTATGTGCACCAGTTTCAGCTTCCTGCATGGTGTTGTGCAGGCTGCCCTAATGTCACACTGTTATAACCGGCCATTGTTAATGCTTTTCCTACTTTGTTAAAATATCTACTGTTAGAGGGTCTAGTGGATTTATTTGCTCAAAATGCAAATCTTTACATTCCTTAGCTATTTCCCAAATATGCCAATTATCTGACTTGGTTTTGTCTGCTGGTCCAGACACAGCAGCATACTTCTGTGTTGCTGTCAAGCGGTCTTTGGCACAATGTTTGGAAATATCTCAGTCCTTGACACAAAAGTACACCAGATTTTCCTGTGAAAGGAAGACGAAAAGATTACCAAAAGATTCACAGATAAGACCTTTATATCAGTTGACATTTTGACATGTCATAGCAGGAACGGTTCACAGAAAGTGGAAATAACAATATTAAACATGATGTTTCAGGGCCCTGGTACTGTTCTTGCCACGTCGCTGGGACACACAAATGCAGTCTTGATTCTCCATTGTTGATGTTATTTGTAATACCTGTACTGTTCTGACGATGACAAGTCAGAATCTGTGCAACAAAGTTAAGGAACGTTAAAGCCGATTCCTGACATTAAAGAACATACAACTCTTTACTGTGTGTGCAACTTTCACCCTCATTCTTTCATCCAAGTTGCCCTTACACCTTCATGTTGTTTAGATTTTACCAATAAAAGCTAAACCAGAGTGACAGAAAATATATTAATATACAGAGTTCAGTGTATGAAATACAAACTCTGACTTTTACTGTCCTACCAGTCTATTGTTTTCTTCCCCAGTATCTTTTGTGTTTTTCTTTAAATTATTTTCATACCATCAACTTTGATCTGTTCCCACTGAAAGTGTTCACCTTCAGAAGGGCTCCATAAATCTCTTTTGATCTCCCTGTGGAAGATACAGCAGGTCCAGAATATGAATCAACATCCAGCCAATCCGGTCTGTAGTAGCATCTAAAATGTCTTTTATCTATCTGCGGAGGCATGTACACGTACACACACACACCAGAGGATGGTTTTGATTACAGGAGAAACATAGTCTGGTCCTGGCGCGAACAGCACAGCACTTCTTGAATTTTAATCTGCTGCAAGGATAGCGTTTTTAAGTGCTACTGAGCAGACAGGCCTATTTCATCATGGCAGCAGGTCTGCATACCATTTAGTCTTTTATCAGGCAATAGCAGACTACTAAATCCCACTGAATCAAGCCTAAATATTTAATATTTACAGCATCTTTCAGTTCTGTCAGTATGAAATACCCTGCCTGAGGCACGTACACTTTCTGTTTCTGTGTGTTGTTAATCTCTTATAAAGGATGTTTATTTAAAATGTTCCTCCTTTTATTGTGGTTTGTCATATTGTTTGGAATTTTTCAGAAGAATAAATCCTCGTTGGATAGATAGATAGATAGATAGATAGATAGATAGATAGATAGATAGATAGATAGATAGATAGATAGATAGAATTTTCCTAATGCTATCATCTGCAATCAAATTAGCTCAGAATCAATATAAAAACCAGCATCGTGCTAACTTGTAACACGGTCGCCACCTAGTGTTCATAATCACAAAGTTGCAGTTGGACTGAAATGTAATTTTGAGCAGGCATTTAGGCCTTCACGTACTAAACAATCGGGGCCCTGACACGATTCTTGCCTTTTTCCGGGAAATGGAGTTTTCATAGCGCCCGCCTCAACGCTTTACGTAGCGCTGCAGACTACAGTTCCCACAAACCCTTGCGCGGTTCAGCTCGTGTCGGGCGTTATGGCGTCTTCTTGAAGCGTAGAGGAATCGCAACTGTTTTGTTGACAAGTAATAAAGGTAAACTTTATATGTTGAAAACTGAAAATCCTCCAGGTGCATTTTGTTCACTGTGAACAACTGCATTAAATGTAGTTTCACTGCTGCATGTTCGAGCAGTTTTCTGAAGAAAATTAGCTTTTTTTGCTAAGTTGTTAGCTAGCTAACGTTTAGGACCAGCTTGCTCACACTATCCACTCCATTTCATTCAGCAGTGGCTGAGTTACTTAATTTTGTCCAATTCCATATGTTATGTTAAGTGTTTACAATTCATTTTGTATTTAAATGTGCTTTTTGTGTGTTTGTTTTTCACCTTAAGTTTAACAGCGCTGGTTTCTTTCAGGTCGTCGTAAGAAACGATTTCCCATTAAATGAAAAAGTAGATAAAGTAAAAAACCCTAAGAGCTGAAAGCCGTATGTCCGAAGTATTGGAGGTCTTGTTTGTTTGTCTCTCTGTGCGATAGTAAAATTGTAAACAATATGCAACTTTATGAAAACGTTTAAACTACATCTTTGAGTCTTGCAATCGAGCGAAACGTATAACACGCTGACTTGAATCCATGTTCAAATGCGGACATTTTACTGGAAAATGTTTGATTTAAGCCAACACAAAGGAAAGTCATGTAAAAACATTATGTTAGTATGCAAATGGTAATTGTAAATTAGTATTTTCTGTCACAATTTCTGGATTCACGAGGATCTCTCCTGTAAATGTTTGTTTGTTCTGAGTATTTCTTTAAAAACAGCTTCAAGCAGTTTAGTTAATCGATATGTATGACACTTATCAAGTAACACTAATGGTGACTAATTAGGCAGAAGCTATCATAAGGCAGTGTGCATGATCTAAACTGTGGATGGTGACTGTTGAATGACGGTTGAATAGCCGCATAAATGTAGGCTGCGCTTTAATTTGTGTCCTGTCAAATATAATAATTTCAGTTTTAGAAATGCAGTTAAATTAACATTTTATGACCAATCCACATGTTCATGCTGTTTGTGTTTGCAGATGGCAGCTGACTCGACAGACAAGAAGGATGCAGAATCCTCAGGGACCAAAGACAGAGAGAGGAAGCGCAGCCGTTCAAGAGAGAGAGACCGCAAAATGTCACCTACACGTAAACGACATCGATCCCGTGAACGAAACCGTTCCAAATCTCCAGAAAGGTAACTGAAACACGAATGTAAAGCAGAATGCATGCAGAACACAAGACATGGTTCTAATTGTTCTTCTTGTTCCTTTGTACTCTCATTAATGTATTTTTCTACATGCCCAAGCTAAAGTTTGTCCTTTTCAATTGGATTTGTGTTATAATGACAGAGACCGACGCATGAAAGACAAGGATAGAGACAAGGACCGGGACAGAGATAAAGACAGAGACAGGAGCCGTAAGGACAGAGACAGCCATCGACGTGATAAAGATCGCAGCAGGAGGTCCAGGTATGTAACAGTGAGATATGTGACATGTAAACATTGATTTAGGTTTTTTAGGAAAAACTGGAAAGGAAAAATTTGCAATGTTTTGCCCACAGAACTCTTGAAAAACTATAAAATATTTGACCTTTAAATCAGGCTATGATGGAGGTCTTGTAGTATCCAAATTATAACAGCTTTCATGTCAGGGTTTTGAATTGTAATAATAAGCTGGAAAAAGACTTTCCTGTGCTAAAAAAATACAAAAGTACCTGAAAATTAGACAATCTTAGAATCCTTACATTTACAAAAAAGGTGCCACTCAAAGTTAATTAACCTAAATTTAAGGCCAAACATGGAGATCCTTCCCGCTTGTGTCAGCTATCCACGTAAATCCTGTCTTACTTCACAAAAGACTCAGCTGATCACCTGGCAGTATTCTTTCTATCGGAGATTTAGTTGTAATGCTGTACTTACTTGATTTGTTAATTTGTTAATTGCACTTGAATTAAACATCAGGGTTTTTTTTTTGTGTGCATGCTTTAATAGAGAAAATGTGACAGAGGTGTTTCTTCATCGCATTTTGGGTTTTTGGATGTGTAGCTGGGAGACAACAAACATTTTGTCTAAATTTCTGTTTGGTTGTTATATGCTGAAGTTCAGTCTGTCACTCTTCATCATAGAAGTGCTTCACCAAAGTCAAAGGATGGCAAGATGAAAAGAGAGAAAGATATCAAAACAGAAGAGGAGGACGATGAAAAAAAGAAGAAAGAGAAAGTAAGAATCCGGTTTGACAGAAGTTTTCAAAACTTTAAATTATCTCTTAGCTGCTATTTTGGGTGTTTGACCTGTTTTGTGTTGTTCAGGTCCAGCCACTGTCTTTGGAGGAGCTTCTGGCCAAGAAGAAGGCAGAGGAGGAAGCAGAGGCAAAGGTGAGAAGTTCATCTTGGTACATCTTTAGTTTTTGTCTTTAAATCCAAGATTGTTTTTTCTTACTTTCCTCTCTTCATTTAATCTTTTTCAGCCCAAGTTTTTGTCCAAAGCAGAGCGAGAAGCCGAGGCTATAAAACGCAGAGAGCAGCAGACAGAGGAGAGGAGGAGGTTGTTGGACGAGGAGAGAAAGAAAAGAAGAATGTTCCAGGACATCGGGAGAAAAATGCTGGGTGTGTTTCAGATTCTAACTTGTAAACAGTCTGCATTTTTTTTTAATACTGTGAAGGTTTGTTGGTAACAACTCAGATTGTTTCTTACAGAGGATCCCCAAGAAAGGGAGAGACGAGAGCGAAGAGAGCGAATGGAGCGAGAGAACAATGGGAATGAAGAAGATGATGGACGACAGAAGCTCAGAGAGGAGAAAGATAAAAGCAAAGAGCTGCAGGCCATCAAGGTTGGTGTGAAGAGAGGAGGGAGATCTTAAGTGCAGTTAAAAAAATGCCCTTTCCTTATGGCAAATTTGTTTTGAAAAGCTGCTGTAAGCTCATACAGCTTGCTCAGTTATACACGGTTTCATGTGACTCCACGTTTGCTCCTCAACAAAGCTGCTGAATTGGAAATTATGCCAGACTGAAATAAACTGAAATGATCCTTTAACCTCTTACCTTCAGTCTTGTGTCGACTGAATATTTAATACATCAAATTTTCATCCAAGACAAAATTTGGCACAAAGTCTAATGTGAGAAGATCTTTTCTTATTCACATATGTACAAATGCAACTTTTAATAAGTAAGAATATTCATACATAACAATATTCAGCTCAAGTGTTGTAAATATACTGAGATTAACTTCATCAAAGAGCTGCTAATAAACAATTTCAGTCCAGTAAAATGCTTTAGGAATAGAGACAGAACATGCATGTTGGCACTTATGACTAATGTCATTTACTGAATTACAGGAACGTTATCTGGGTGGGCTCAAAAAACGCCGGCGAACTCGTCATCTGAATGACAGGAAGTTTGTGTTTGAGTGGGATGCATCTGAGGACACTTCAGTCGACTACAACCCGATGTGAGTCGACTGTTTCACACAGTTTTGCACTGAAAGGTTTTAGTTTTTCCAGTCTAAACAGTATGATCTGTCTTCCAGTTACAAAGAAAAGCATCAGGTACAGCTGTATGGGCGAGGCTTCATCGCTGGCATCGACTTAAAGCAGCAGAAAAGAGAGCAGTCGCGTTTCTACGGTGACCTGATGGAGAAAAGACGTACGCTGGAAGAGAAGGAGCAGGAGGAGTGAGTAGAATTGTGAATTGATCATTGCTGTTTATAGTTAAAGAATAATAGACTTGAACTTTATCCAGAAAGTAAATAATCTGCGTAAAATCTGGTTTATTCAATGGAAAATGGTTGTCCAGTATACATAGTTTCACCTCTAACACTCCCACTTTCCAATCCTTATTTTTCCCTCAGGACAAGACTGAAGAAGATGCGAAAGAAGGAAGCCAAGCAGCGCTGGGACGACAGACACTGGTCTCAGAAGAAGCTGGACGAGATGACGGACAGAGATTGGCGAATCTTCAGAGAGGATTACAGCATCACCACCAAAGGAGGAAAGATCCCGAACCCAATCAGGAACTGGAAGGAGTATTCTCTGCCCGCACACATCCTCGAGGTCATCGACAAATGCGGCTATAAGGTCAGTTCATGGTCAAGTTTTACGGCAGGAGAAGTCAAAAAGTCAAAATTTACGCTCTATTTGATCTACAAACTGACATCTCCTCTTTGTTCTTAACTGTGTTAAATTTAATCACTGATCATCGCTTTCTTTCTCCAGGATCCGACACCAATTCAGAGGCAGGCCATTCCTATTGGTTTGCAGAACCGTGACATCATCGGTGTGGCTGAGACCGGTAGCGGTAAAACAGCTGCTTTCCTGATTCCACTGTTGGTCTGGATTACCACCCTGCCAAAGATTGACAGGTAACACAGTTTAAGCTCCAATAACGCTATCGTCTGTGTTTGAACTCTCCTTGGCTGACTGAACTACTTCTTTCTTCTATTACATTCCTCTGCTCTCTGCGTGGCTGTTCCTACAGGATTGAAGACTCAGACCAGGGTCCTTATGCTGTGATTTTGGCACCGACTCGTGAGTTGGCTCAGCAGATCGAAGAGGAAACCATAAAGTTTGGTAAACCACTTGGTATCCGAACAGTGGCTGTGATTGGAGGAATCTCCAGAGAGGACCAGGGCTTCCGACTCAGGATGGGCTGCGAGGTGAAACATTCAGCTTTTATTCTCGTAGAAAAGTTACAGAAACAGTTACTAGATTATCTGTCAAAGGATTTCAAGTTAGAATGCAGGGGGCACCAGATGCCAGTAAACCTATTTTTAGTGTTTAAATCAGATCAGCATTTATCATGTTGGGCTTCGTTACTCTTTGTGGAAAATTAAACCCTTGATTCATTGAAACTTTAACAAAATGTTGTCATTTTCTTCCAAAACCAGAAAACGAACATGCACGTATAGTTACTATCAGTTTTTTGGAGATATATAAACAACCTGCATCAAAACGTGATCTTATCCAGAAAATAATGTTTGTCTTATGAAGATAACAGAAATTAAAACTCTGTAAATGAGAGTGAAGCACAATTTTAAATATTCACTGTTTAATAGTGGTGAAAACTGGTAGTTAGTCACTGTTAGTCACTGTTACCTTAGCAGTATAAATTTTATATGCAGTGTCTCTTGGCAGGATGCTAAATCTGCCTTTTTATTCACAAGGTCCTGCAACTCAAAACCATATTCAACAGCTGAATGGTTTCTCTCATCCAACAGATTGTGATCGCCACCCCCGGACGTCTGATCGACGTGCTGGAGAACCGCTACCTGGTCCTCGGCCGCTGCACCTACGTGGTCCTTGACGAGGCCGATCGTATGATTGACATGGGCTTCGAGCCTGATGTGCAAAAGATCCTGGAGTACATCCCAGTGACCAATCAGAAACCAGACACAGACGAAGCAGAGGACCCCGAGAAAATGACAATGAACTTTGAATCTGGGAAACATAAATACAGACAAGTATGTTTATCTTTATATGCCAGACTACCTTGGTCGTCAGGTGCTCTCTCTTTTACATGTTTCTCTAACTGTGCGTGTGATCGCACCTTGCAGACGGTCATGTTCACGGCTACGATGCCTCCAGCTGTGGAGAGGCTGGCCAGGAGCTACCTGAGACGTCCTGCTGTGGTCTACATCGGCTCGGCCGGAAAACCTCACGAGAGAGTCGAACAGAAGGTGCTGCTCATGTCAGAGGGAGAGAAGAGGTGAGACAGACGCGGACACCCACCTCAAGCACCAAACATCACACTAATTTCAAAGTACTGAGTGTTTTTGTATTGTTTGCTTTGTAGGAAGAAGCTGCTGGAGGTTTTGGCTCACGGCTTCGAGCCTCCCATCATCATCTTCGTCAACCAGAAGAAGGGTTGCGATGTGCTGGCCAAGTCTTTAGAGAAGATGGGGGTAAGTTCCTGCAGGCTCAACCTTAACGTTCTAGTGCTTTTGGCTCACAATTTGGATTTGTGCGGTTCAGAAACAGAAGAAATGCATGATGTAATATTTTTGTCATTTGTTATTGAAAAATCTTCAGCAGCGTCTCATTACGTGTAATTTTTCAACACTGAAGGCAGTCAGCTGCTGCGTAATAACAAAATAAAGTATATCAACAAGTGCATTCATAATTAATTTAAATGAACCTCTAGAGACAGCAGAGCGGTCGCAGCTGTAGAATTGCACAAAGTAATGCTATGTTTCACTCATTGTCGCCAATGAGGACTCTGCTGTCTTATTTGAATAAACTTTATTGGAGCAGTCACCAGACAGAACTAAGACAAGCTGTATGAAAGCCTGTTTAAAACATGTAGTGTGAGTTAAGACATCATTCTCCTTGAATAGAAACACAGCTGTTAAAGCTAACACTGCTAGCATGCTAAAGCTGACAAACAGCAGCTGCCAAAACATGTGGGTGGAACTTATACTCAAGTATGTTGACATAAATAGACTTCTGAAAGGAAAGGTCTGGATCACAGTGCATACCAAATGTCCTGCTCCAACCATTTCATGACTAGTACACACACTGTTACACCCCTTCATAGTTATTTTTTTTTATGTTCTTTTCCTTGAACTAATCAGCGAAATGTATTCCTTAGATTTAGTTCAAAGTTAGTATTGGTGACACCTGTGGGCACTTGGAAGATTTATTTCTTGATTTTTGTAAATTAAATACGCCCTTTGTTTTTTTTTTTTAATGATCTATTTATTGCTTTGTGGTATTGCACAAAAGAGTCGTTTCTATAGAGATTAATGACTTTATATTGTAGAGAGGAGCACAAAAAAAATCCCCAAAACTACTTGAGGTTGGGATGGTCAAGTTGATTTCCTAGAATACTGATAATATATAGAGAAGTTTCATCTCCACCCTCTCTTCTTGTCCTCCTCATAACAGTACAATGCGTGTACACTTCACGGTGGCAAAGGCCAGGAGCAGAGAGAGTTTGCTCTCTCAAACCTCAAGGCAGGAGCCAAAGACATCCTGGTGGCCACAGACGTTGCTGGTCGAGGTATTGACATCCAGGACGTCTCCATGGTCATTAACTACGACATGGCGAAGAACATCGAAGGTAACAATCCCTCAGTGTTTCGTTTTTTGTTATCAGATGGAATTTTTCTGAGGCGTAAAGTCTGTCTACTCATGGTGAAATTAAGTATTTATGATTCATTGTTTCACTCTTCCTCTCCCTGCAGACTACATCCATCGTATCGGTCGTACGGGTCGTGCTGGTAAGAGCGGTGTGGCCATGACTTTCCTCACCAAAGAGGACTCTGCGGTGTTTTACGACCTGAAGCAGGCCATCCTCGAGAGCCCGGTGTCCACCTGCCCACCGGAGCTGACAAACCACCCGGACGCTCAGCACAAACCTGGAACCATCCTGACCAAGAAGAGACGCGAGGAGACCATCTTTGCCTAATTTGAACTTTATCCACTGATACTTGGTGTTCACTTCTCTGTATTACATTAATGTTTAAGGCTATTGACGCCCTTGTGTTTTTTTATTGTATTTGTCATCCGCTCTGTGGATAGTAAGGAACACATGGACTGATGCAGAAAACATTCTCTGGTTCTCATCGGGGCACTTGGATTTTAAGATACAATTGTTGTGAATCTGTGATCAGTGAGCAGGATCCCAATGATCTGCTCCATATAAATATCATGTGATAAATAGCAGCTGGATGCGACTGTAGATGAGTAGTGTGTGCAAAAGGGTTTTAGTCATTTTCTGTCACAATTTGACTTTTCTGACCAAAAGCAGAATTGATGCCCGTTTCTTTTGCTTCGGTTGCATCCTCTGACTAGACTGTAGTCAATTGTTTAAAATATAAACATTTGTATGAAGTGAATACAGCAAATCTATAACATCTGTTTCTGAAATGACTACATTATATGTGAAGATTTTTTTTTCTATAGCAATCGTCTTGTACTACAAGGGAGAAAATTTCAGGTACCTTAGCATGAAGCTACAGGACAGAAGAACATCCACTGATCCATTTGTGTGTTCCACATTACCAGCTGTTGTTCAAGCCTGCAGTAGTTGTGTTGGTTTTCCTGCTATCCAGTGGTTTGTGAGCACTTTATACATACAAATGGTGCCTGCACATTTTTCACAAATGATTGTTACACAAATTGCAGATAAATTTGTTCTACAGTATTTCCCCAGCTTGAGTCAAGTGTGGTGTTTCTTTTGATTTGTTGTAAGTGCCCACAAGAGACGATCTTGTGCTGCAGAGTTTATAAAAAATTGCTCCAGGATGCAATGTTTTTAAGTCGTACTAGCAGCGTGGCTCGGGAAATGTCAGATGTTCCATCCACCAGTTTGGGCCAGACTGTTTTTTTTTTCTCTCTATGATTATTGTACAGATTGCAGTAAAAACATTCATGTTCCCATCAGAGTGAATCCCATTTTCATTTTCACAAATAATGTGACTTAAAATCTACAGGGCTCATACCATTTAAAAAAAAAACAGCCTGCACTCAGATGAGCTGGTTAAAGGTCCTGATGATGTTTATGATGATTGTTAACTGGATTTGTTTCCTCTTCTGGAGAGTCAATGTCTACTGTAGACAGAAAATGCCCGTTATATCATCAGTTCTATACAGAGTTAAACCTGATGATGGCATCACTAAAACACTTTATCCCCAGGACAATCCATCTGACAACTTATATTTCACCCCAAACAGCAGCTGTGAAGCCCATGGTGGCTCTGGAGGGAAAGATGTGATGAGAAAAGTCAATTCTTTGGATAACTCAGATATTTCAGCCTAATCCAAAGTGGTGAACCGACAGAGCAGCGTCACTAAGCGCGTCATGGTGAAACACAGAAACCACCCAAACAATTAAAAGTACATAAAATGTCATGTTTATTTAGTTTAAGTCATATTTTACTTAGCATTGTAAATCTATTTTCAAATAGAAAGCATTCTATACAGCATCAGGCAGGAAATGTCTCACTTTTTACACATTTGCTGTCTCTTTTGATAAATAGAGGGAAGAGGCGTGTCGGGTCACGCTAGCACGCTGTGGTAGTCTGGTGGATATATGGTTATATTTAGTGCAGTTATTGCATTACAAAGCAACCATCCCAAAGAAAAGTAGTGCAATATATATATTTTTTTCTACTCACACAAAAGAGGAAGTCCAGATGGTCTAAGGCGTTTAAAGTTTTTCAATGTTAGGCTTCGTATTGCATACAGAATAAGACAGAGGAAACTAAATTATAACCCTTGTAAAAATTGTGCTTCATAAATTGAAAAACCTCAACTGCTTTATCAGTTGCTAAATTGGTCCGCTTTGAAAAACAAACTGCCAAAATATAATGAAAGTAGCTAATTGGTGAACTAAGACATACAGGGCTTTGATTATTCACTCATTCCTTTTATAACAAATTAAACAAAATAAAAAATAAATCGAAGGCCTGATCTGGGACAACTTTTTAGTGAGTGACTTTTAAAAGTGCGTCAACCAGTAATATAGTGGAAGAATGTCCCCGGTATTAAGGTGTGTGGAGAAATAAACTGATTCTTAGTAGTTGAGTTGTTAGTGGTGCAAGGAGTGAGTAGCCCCAAAGACAAGACTATCACTACAAGACGACGAGGAGAGTCAGAATCAATGCATTACTAAAATACTTAACCGTAAAAAGAAACAATCAGATTTCATGCAACACTTGCATAGATTTTTTTTTCTTCTTTTTTTTTTTTCCAATCATGCTGATTTTTTTTGTTTTCTCTTCAAAATATACAGAACACTAAATAGGGATACCTGTGAGACATGGAAGCAGTAAACCAGTTGTTTCCTAAAAAGCCGGCTGCGACAACATCGGCCCCGTCTGCGTGAACAGGGTCGAGTCGCCGCTCGTCAGCATCACGTCCAACTCGTCGTCGGCTCACGGACTAGAAATGGTGCAGGAACAGAATGACATCGAGTGCTACAAGTCCTTCAGGAGCACGACACATTCGTTACATGGAGTTGAGCACGATGAGTGTGTAGGACTTTACACCTGAGGATCCGCCGTGGTAAAAAAACCAGCTGGAGAACTGCAGTACACGAACGTGAGGCGATGTTTTTGACACGCAAAAGAGGGAGGGGGGTGAGATCAGTGTCGTGGATGCTACAATCAACGTGCTACAATCGAATTGGGGGGCGATCGGTTGGGTGGGTGGGTGGGTGGGAGACACCGGGTGGTGCTGGAGGTGCAAAAAGGCATGCAAGCTTACATTCTCTGAAGCCTGGATTCGAGGAGGAGCTGCAGCTGCGCAGCATGTGCTTGATAGATGTGAATGACTTGATGTAAACAAGTGTTTTGGCAAAGACAAAGACGTCCTTTAAAAGATTGAAAACATTCCCTTTCTTTGTGTTTACATTCTCTGTGCCCGTTTTTTCAATTTTTCTTTTTTTTTTTTTTTTTTTTTTAGAGAGTGATTGTGCAACAGCAAAGACGAGTGATGCCCAGAACGTACTGCACTGTAGGTGACGCTGACGCTGTACTGCAGCTTCATACCGACTACTTACATTGTGACTGTGTGGAGACTGAGCGCGTGTCTCCCAAATGCCATTCACTGAACACATGGATGGCAACAAACAAGTCCATTTAACAAAATCAAACAAGTAAATAAAGTAGCAATGAAACAAAACCAGGTGCCCATTCAGTATATACATTGTAATCAAATGCATTACTATTTCCCATATAAATGGATTCAACAGAAGACATTCCTACATTAGTTTATCTGTAAAGATCATTCAATTCCTGTTCTGACATTAATGTGCAAATAGTCTTAAAATAATTATACATGCAATAGTAAAGATAGTTAAAAGTCTTAGGAATTTTAAGGCCAGTATATGAGACATCCTACAATAGAGAAACCTTAGGCAAAGCAGCTAAAGTTTGAGTTTGCGTACAGCTGGTAGCCTGAAACCTTTCCATTGCAGAGGTGAGTAGCCCTGTTGACTTTAATCTGAATAACTCGACTCAGGAGAGGTGAGTAATCATATCGCTGCAGATAAACTGGAAGATTGGATTATTTAAACTGGGCATCTGTTTCTGTTTGTTTCTGATTGGCGTTTAAGTTTTCAAACTGGGAACTTTTTTTCATCTTTTTTTAAATGTTACGTTTTGGATCGTGAGACAGTCGTAGGGCTCGGGGGTGGGGGGCCTCGGTGCCTATCTGGAGGCGGGGAGGGGCCCTCGTTTCAGTAGGTGTCTCGGGGCCAGGGGCGGCTGCGCTGGCGGTTGTTCCTCTGGTTGTGACCTTGCTGAGCTTCGCGCTGGAGCAGCCTGTCCTGTGACTCATGCCCGTTGGCACTGTGGGCGCTGCCTGGGTGCCCACGGTGAGGCGGGTACATGTCCCTGTATGTGCGAGCGTGGCAGGGAGAGGCGTACTCATCCTCCTCCTCTTCCTCCTCTTCTTCTTCCTCCTCCTCCTCCTCCTCCTCCTCTTCATCCTCCTCGCCCCCCCTGTGGCATGGGCTCCCTCTCCGGCCACGAGACAGGGAGTCGCTGGCCTCGTCAGATGGCATAAGACTGTCCTGCTCCAAGGGGGAGTGGGCCTCCTCGCCGACCTCCTCCTCCTCATCACCCTCCAAGCCCACCGCCTCACGAGGCTGCGGCTGGTTCTTGTTCTGTGGTGATTCGAGTGGTCATGGAGGAAAAAATAGAGTAACAGGGAGTCAAAAGAAAGCTCTGAAGCCAGGACCACATGTCAAAGCAGCTTCACACTTTCTGGCAACTTTTTAAAGACAGAAGACACACAGAGGGGATACAAATTAATGCAAACACTACATCAAGAAGGACTCTGAAGGAAACGTTTAAGTCTGTCTTAAAGGAGAATTCTGTTGTTGTTTTTTTTAACCTGTTGACTTCCCGTTAATGTGACTGTTGTGGCTCAAAGAGTCATGCTAACTTGGCACTCTCCACCACCGCTGTAGAGGTTCAGAGAAACGAGGAGTCACACAAAACAGCATGTACACAAGTTTTCCCTAATGCACTTGTCCGTTCCAACTGTCTAATTTCCGTGTTTGCTTTCAGACTTGAAAACAATCATCAAAAATGAGTCAAGTAAAAATCTATTTTTATGGAAAGCTGCAGGAGCTTACACTAGTTTTCCTGATGTACATTGTTTTGTGTGATTCCTCGTTTCCCTGAATCTCTACAAAGGATGTGGAGAGTGCAAAGTTACAGTGAGTGAAACATCTACCTCTGGTAATGCCTGGCTACTGAAATAGTAATTTCATATATTCTCCTCTACATGAGCTAAAAGCTATTGTCACCATGCTAACATGCTCACATTGACAACATGCTGATGTACACCAAGAGTTGTCGAGACATTTCACTAAAACAAAATGTCAAACTCCTGGTCAAACTGAAGGAAAATTCTGGACATCACAGAAGTCGACAGCATTAATCCTTGTACATGCGTACAAAAAGTTAGATATTTCAGTCTTGACCAAATGCAAACGCTGACGAACAAATACCTGCAGAGGTCATTGATTTAATAATGATTAATTCCTATTTGAGTGCTGCCTAATTCTATCACTTACAACGGCAATAAACTGTATTTATTTACAGTTTAAAGTCACAAGACCCATTGAACTGATGAGCTAAAAGCTCCAAGAAATGGTGACAGTTTCTAAAATGTTAAAGGTCCCATATGGTAAAATCCCCCAACAACTAGATAGCCTCTAACCTTTACAAGCCAGTAAAAATTTTACCAAACTGTTGTGTACCAGTTAATGAACCGGTAGTCGTGTATGTCAAACTTTGTATAATCCTGTCTCCTCACTGCCTGTTGCGTTCAGGTGAGCCATTTAGAATATGAAGCTCCATCCACCTGGTTTGTTTACTTTCTAGAGCTGCTTCTACGAACTCTAAAATGCCTCAGTTTTGAGCATAGCACAGCCATTGTTCAGCTGTTGGCTGCCAGAGTGCACACAAGAGTGTTCATGCACTCCCAGCATCCGAGGAACTAAATACCCAGTGGATTTCTTTTATTTTTGATGGCAATGTAATCACAACAGTAGAAAAAATCCTTAGCGTTAGCACACTGTGAGGCTAATGTAGCTAACATTACTATTAGCTTTGATCACAGAGATAGTCTTCTTTCTGAAGGGGGGTGGCCTCCAGCAGTTAAGCTGTATTTAAAGCTACACTGAAACAGACGTTTTGAAAAGGACTAAAACCTGGAATTACACAGTAACGGAAAAATGCACAATGTTTTCAATACTCTAAACTGAAAAAAAAGACATTCTGGGAGGCATTATTTTGTCTGTAAAAGGGCACAGTATGGGACCTTTAAAACAGATGTTGCGGCTTTTAATCTAAACTAATCCTGCATCACTGTCTGGTGCTGTGGTCATAATCTGCAAGTAATTGAAATATAACTGAACTGGACAGTACTAAACAGCTGACAGTGTTAATATTTGTCATGCAGCAGTGTTTGTTAGGGAAGTCTCCTCAAAGTCCTTTGTTTTGTCTGTGTGTTTACAGATTAACACTAGAGACACTGAACCAAAGAAATGCAAGTTGATGGATGGTCAGGGGTTACTCTTTCACAAGAAACATTACTATACTGATGTTATAGTCTCAGTTTGTGGTGTAAATTTGCATTTACATAGTTCAGGTGAATACATTGTTAAAGCACTGATCATTTGCTTTTTCTTAGCATCATTCAAGTTAGCGTTATATGCCACGGTGAGCAGAGACAGCATTCACAAAGCATTCTCGGAGAAGGGTCAATACCAACAGAAAATAGAAAATAACAGGGAATTTTTTTTTCTTTCTTTTTTGATATTTCACATAAACATTGCATATCAATTATGTTGTTAAACTGAAGATCGAGCATAACTGCTTTGTGAATTTTCTGCCCGAAAGCTTGTGGAGCAGTGATTCACCTGAGACCATCAAGTAAAGGAAAAGAGGCAGGATGCAGTAAAGAAAAGAAAACACATCGTCTTAACTTGGCTGTGGTGAGATCTGAATGAATAAAATGCTGTTCATTCACTGTCTCAGCCGCTGCGTCGTGTTCGGGAGTCGGGAGGTGTGTAAGAGGGGAGAGTGCAAATATATATACGTATCATATAAACCCTACTACTCACCCCGTTTTGTAAGCGATCATTCAATTAATTCCTGTGTTTCAGAAAACTGCAAAAATGTTAAGCATGGATGAGTGAGAAGACAGACAAGACAACTGGAGACAAATAAATCGAAACACAGGAGTGAGAGTCTGAGATGGGAAGAGCTGGTAAAGACAGTGACAACATACAGCGAGTTCAAATACTTTAGAGTCTTAAAACTGTATTAAAAGCCTACTGTCATGCTCTCCTGCTTTTCTAACACATGAAGACTAACTTACCTGTAGGCTAGAGATGGCAGAAGGCGGCGTCATCAGACTTTGCTCCAGTAAGGGATTAAGAGGGGTGTTGCCTGGGAGGTGAGTGGCACGCCAGTAGACCTCCAGGTATTCGGCCAAATGCTCACAAGCGTCTTCCAGCTGGTTCTCATCCAAAATGACATCAAACATATCCTGCAAGAGAACAACGGTGAGACACTTTGAGCTAAATGCTGACAGGCTCACAATGATGCTATGGTAATGTAGAGCTAAAGTGATTAGTCTCGCTCCAGAAAATGAATCTCCAACTATTTTCTTAATCATTTAAGTCATGCTTCAGTTAAAATCATTCTCTGGTTCCAGCAACTGCAATGACACTGTTTTATTCTTCTTTTTGTTTGACTGCATATCAAAGATCATTGAGTTTTGGACTGTTGTTGTATTATAACAACTAAAAATTATGCAGATTCATCAGTAATGAACATCACTGTTAGTTGCTGTCTTGATGTTTGTAGCTTAGCATGTTAGCATTTGCTACTTAGCACAACCTGTAGCTGAGGCTGATAGGAATGTAATAAGATTTGGAGGTGTTTGATCATAATGCGTTGGACAAATGACAGTATTTGACTGGATGCTGACTCTAGAATAAAAACCAAAGTTAATGCAGTTTATTTTAAGGAAGCTATTAATGTTTTAAGACCCCCTCCAGTAACTTTTTTTCTTTTAAATTAATTTGTTTATTCATTAATATGTCAATATGGTGTTTTTAAAAAAAGAAAAAAAAAAAAAGCTAAAATGCATATAATGAGCTAATTATGCATTCAACAGCATGGTGGAGCTCCTTGAAGCAGGAGTGTACTGATGACAGTCAAAAAAACAACAACATAGATTCAGAAACAATCCTGTCAGCTGGTGCGGTGGGGCTTTCTGTATCATTACTCTTCTTCAGAATCACAGTCAAACATGTTTGACCGAATTACTCCGATATTACAACTTGCCACTGTTCAACATATTGTAGCTTTACAGTGTCTGTACAGAGTCGTAAGTGAGCTGGTGTGCTGCAGCTGCTGTGAGTGGAGACAGGGAGTTACAGCTAAGCCACATTTAAGGCAATAAAGAATTATTTTCATGGATAAACTTCTAAATATGTAGCTTTGATACACTAAGATGAATTTGTAGGGGTTTAATCAACGAGCGGAGAGGGACTTTAAAGCAGTAAATTTGACGTCAACCCACCCAACAGTTGAGACATTTTAGTTTGGATCAAAGTGACCAACAGACAGTCCGACTGAAATGACCACCTTTACAGCAATGGCTGCTGCATGGGAAAAAAATCATGGCTCTTGTTGAATTACTTAATTTTGTCTGGAACTAAGTTGGATTCTTACAAGTTTATTATCACCAGCCTACAAAAGTTTTAGATGAATCTCCAAATCATCGAGAATCGTAGTAACAGTGGCAAACAGCACAACATCGTAGTAAGCATTTTAACAAAAGTAATGTGTGTTAAGGGATAAAGCTGCTATTTAGTTATTGATAGTGAATCGCATGAAAAAAACAAAACTGAAAACTGGTTAGCCTCTCTTCTCAATACTTTGTGACTTCCCCACCCTGTCTGGGGCACTCCGGTAAAAACCCATTCCAGTGTACTGTTGACGAAATCTATTTAAAAAATAAAAAATAAAAAAGGTCATATACCTAAAGTTTCATTTTCAAAAAGGAAATTTTAACTTTGTTACCCAGTGGGGCACTACTGTTTGTTTGACTCAAACAGGAATAAATTCAGGTTAATACACAGCTGGTGTGAGTATTTACAGCCTCAACAGTTTATACGGGATCAACCTAATATAAACTGCAGTGTTGATGTGAATGGATATAAACTAATTTCATCAGAATGTCTTTTAACAAGTTCACCACCAATAACTGGTCATATAAAATGTTGAGACTGACCAGTTTGATTAGAAAGAGGCACACATTATAGCACTCACAGGGGGGCACTGAGAGAGTTTGTCTGCAGCCATCATCTGCACATTCAGGTGCTTGCTCTGAGACTTCCCCCTGGATTTAATCAGCCTCTGGAGCACCTGAGAGAAAAGACAAGACAGCGTCATACATCAATAAAGACGAGGCAGCCTGAATCCAGCGTTCATAAGCGAGGTGTACCTTTGGTGAGGAAACTTTAACGTAGACAATGATGGGTGCGAGGGAGGTTTTGGCGAGCTGTGCGGGATGGTTGATGGTGTCTGCGTCCAGAATCACCAGCTGCAGGGTTTTGGCGAGCTCAAATATCCTCTCGATCTCACTCTGAACCTCCGCTGCACAGAGAAGACTCATTTTATAAGTTGGCAGTTAATCCTTTGCTAGAACAGAGATCCGTGGTGTTTTCGTGCTCACGGTTACCTAAGCTGGAGCGAGTGTTGGATCTTTCCATTATGGGTCTTTTGTTGAGGACGGATCTCTTGGCTAAGGACAGGTCGGCAGTTACACGGGTGATTGAGATTCTGCGAGCAAAGTCACAAAACACACAGAGGAAAAATGTGCAGTGAAACTTTCTGACTGGATTTATTAACGTCTGACTTTCAGCAGCTTCTGGGTTTATACTGTGATCTCCATTTTACTGACCTTCCCTCAAATCTGTGTTTCAGGAAGTCAAAAAGCGCTTTCTGCATCATATCTGTCACCTAGGTGGAGGGATATTTAAAAGAAAAAAAAAACCAACCATTTAGATACACATTATAAAATTAAAGAGACAATGCTATGCTTTGTTTTAATGTCAGAATACAGAACAATGCACACCAAAACAACCAGACAGGAGAACAGCGTCTTTCCAACCTAATGAACTTTGAAATGTGCAAAGCATATGACAGGACACATCCATGTATACAGAGGTGCATACAGTAGCCAGAAAGTCTACTCAAGTAAAAGTATTGCTACTTTAAAAAAGTCAAGAACTCGAGCAGAAGCAAATGTAGTCATGAAAACAGTTGAACTGTAAAAGCACCTAGTCAGAAAAATCTTTTTAGTGAGTAAATTCATGAGCAAAAAAAAGGAAAGAATTGAAAATATGACTGTATTACTCATCATTCTTTGACTAAAATCTGCATTTTAAGTTTCTATAAGTAGTTTGTTGTAGACAATACCAATATACCCCATTTTCTCCTTTTCTTAAATGTGATCGCAAAATGAGCAAAAAACCAGGACACATTGCTCCACCTGGGCATCTCCTCTGATGCGTGGTTGAAAGTCATTACTCTAATTAGTGCTGACTGGAGGTGACTTTCTGCTCCTGTCAAGCATCGGACAGCACAGAATTATTACAGCTGAAGTATAGAGCTGACTCTAAGAGGCAAAGAAAAAAGAGATTCGTTTGCAGAGCAAATTTAAACCAGAATTGGACACCAAACAAACTGAACTTTATAGCGGCTCTTGTTGAGGGTTTGTGGAACAGTGGTTGAGTTTCTTGTAATTAACAGTTAAGTGATGCATACAGTTGGTTCAGAACATATATTTAGACACTTTACTTTGTAGATTTAATCTAAAAATCAGTTATCAGTTTACACTGAGACCCTTTGCTG